CATTGCCTTCTCTCGTGACACAATATGTACTTTAAAGTTTATATAGCTTCAGCAGAATTAAAACGTCTGAGGAAATGATCGAACGAGCTTACAATTCACGAATACTTCAAGTTTATTAAAAGTTGAAACAAATTTTACAGAAATGTTCTAAATTCCAATTTGAACTATAATGGAAGAATAATGTCTTCGACGTGTACGTGTAGCGTGAAACTACCGGTGTCTTCTACGTGTACGTGAACCGTGAAATTACCAATGTCGTCGCCGTGTACGTGTAACGTAAACTTACCGATGTCTTCTACGTGTACGTGTTGCGTGAAACTACCGATGCCTTGTACGTGTACGTGTACCGTGAAATTACCAATGTCGTCTACGTGTACGTGTACCGTGAAATTGCCGATGTCTTCGACGCGTACGTGTACCGTAAACTTACCGATGTCTTCTACGTGTACGTGTACCGTAAACTTACCGATGTCTTCTACGTGTATGCGTACCGTGAAATTGCCGATGTCTTCTACGTATACGTGTACCGTTAAATTACCGATGCCTTCTACGTGTACGTGTATGCGTACCGTGAAATTGCCTATGTCTTCTACGTGTATGTGTAGCGCGAAATTACCGATGTCTTCGACGTGTACGTGTACCGTGAAATTACCTATGTCGTCTACGTGTACGTGTACCGTGAACTTACCGATGTCTTCTACGTGTACGTGTAGCGCGAAATTACCGATGTCTTCGACGTGTACGTGTACCGTAAACTTACCGATGTCTTCTACGTGTATGTGTAGCGCGAAATTACCGATTACGTGTACGTGTACCGTGAAATTACCGATGTCGTCTACGTGTACGTGTACCGTGAAATTACCGATGCCTTAATTCCCTAGTTTAATGCTTAATAAAACAACAATATTAATACAACTTCGATTTGATTTAAAAACTCACTGAACTAAGGAGTTGATTGTACTCATGATACTAACACTCATTTTGAAATATCGTTATTTATATGAAAACGTACTTAACTTACGTATCAAAGGGCATAAACGGAGCTGGACCCATGAAGAGGAAGGCAACACCAATAATAGCACAGCCTGAGACTCCAACTAACTTTGTAATATCCTGTGTGGTGTAATACATTGTCAATGTCATTGAATATATACATTTTGATTGGGTGAACAATTAATAATCCTGTTTTCAAGACTGAAACATCATGATTTCAGTGAATAAAAGATATACTGGTGTTTTAACATTACTTAGATTGTCATATATTTTTTAAATATTGTTTTGTTATGGTTATTTTCCCATCATTTATAAGGAGTTAAACAAAGTCTACCAAATCTGAGTAACAAGGACATTAAACGATAACAAATTAGAAGTGTCTGTGCAAAAAAAAAAAAAACACTCAAAGGTTATTTAACAAACTCACATACACTTTTGTCCACCAGGAAGCCCCACCCGGGGACTGTGATGGCATAAAATCCTCCTGCAACCACAAAGATGGTCCCGAGTATAAACGGTGAAAGATTAAACTGGAAAATAAGTTACAAATAATCCGATGATAATTCATTAACTTCTCTACAGACAACCATAAAATACACGATGAGCAGCACATAAAAAAAAACCGTTCGCAAAGAATATTTTAATATATTTATTGGAGAGGTGAGTTTTCAAAACTCTGGTATACAAAAGATAACGAAATATAGAAGAATTGTGGGAACTTTCGCAACATTAAAGTTGAATTTCAGCCAACAACGTCCAAGTTTTATAACTATTGGACTAAAACAGCTTTCTATCAAACTTCTCAATTTATAAATACCATTACATAGGCTTTAAAACTGCAGCTTCTAACGGTAAAGCAAAACTTAAGTTATTTATAAGAACCATTATCAAATTTGTAGATTTAGGCTTAACATCTTTCAAATGTTATTATGAACAAATTGTCAAAGAACCTTTTTGAAAGTAAAAGTGCACGTGCAAATGAACATACGGCGCATTTTCTAATATCGTTGTTGTTTGTTATTAAGTACAAAGCTACACAAAGGGCTATCTGTGCTCTGCCCACTACGGGTATTTCCTAATTTCATAAGTGCGTTAAAACTAATTTTGCCACTGAAGCTATAGAACTAGATAATCAAACAAAGTCTGAGAGAAAATATTAACTTTTACGTTTCATTATTTCTTATTCTTCTATCAGGTAATTTTTAATGTTAGTATATATTTATATAAATGCGTTCATATATATATATATATACACACAGTAATGGAAGTACTTGTGATTACACTTACTGGAAACACAAACAACAAACAAAAGACATTTAGATGATTTGCTTGTCGTTAAGCGCAAAGTTACACCATGAGTTTTACCTGTGCTGTGCCAGCCTGGGGTATCGCAACCCGGTTTTCATCGTTATAAGCCTTCAATTTAATTTCAATTATCTTTCAGGTAAATTTAGACAAAGCACTTGTGTTCAAAGGCATTTACTGGATGGATATTTCATGAAACATCATTCACAGTTGCAGTGCGAAATTTTTACTTAAATAATTTTGTATTCACAGACATATTTAACCAAATTAATGCTAAAGATATCTTTAAAAGAGAACACTTTGAATTGCAACAAGATACTGGCGCCCTTACATCCTGACTATGAATTGAGTACTCAAACTTCATAATGATGGCCAATCAATTATAAAAGTTTTGCATCAAGTATAACAAGAAATATAACGAAGTTGACAGCAGTGTCATCTCATGGTATCGCTAAGCCTAATATTAAGAAATCAAACCGAACAAGAATTCTTAAGTTGTAATAAAAATGAATAAAATAAAAACAGGTTCACCTTGTTAACTCTTTCACTCTCCTAATACCAGATTTTTTTATACACAAAAAAATTGTTTTAATATTTCATCCTTTGCCTAAAACTTGATACATTTTGGGAAGTTTAAACGATTTTTTTTCGTGGTGGCACAAAATTATCAATTCATAGTAAAATGCTTTAGAGGACATGTACAGCGTTTGGATAAAATAACGGAAAAACTGTTAAATTCTATACTTTATTTATTAATATTGAATTAATCCTTATTAATCAGAAATATGGTATTAACTCAACGTGAAACTGGGGAAACAAGGCACATTCGTCGATCTACGTTTCTTCTGACTTCGTAGAAACCTGCTTTAAAGTTTGCTTGCAAGAATTGAACATAAATGCTTAAATTTGGTGACTGTGGTGGTCAAATTATGTGCTCATATTCTTTGGACACATCTTTAACAATTTCGGCAGCATGGGTTGGTGTACTGTATTCCTGAAATATACTAGTACCGTTTGTGAATACAATGTTCATTTCAGAGTCAACTTGAATCTTCAATAACCTTTAAGTAATCATTTGCTGTTACTTCACATTTTATTGAGATCATAGGTCCTAAACTATACCAATAAAAATCTAACCACACCTTCGCCACAAATGATTCAAAGTTGTAAACTTAATTTAATTTTTATCATATAAAAAGTACGCCAGTTTTATGGGCAAAATATAAAGGATGATTCATGTCATCAAAACCAAATTTCTCCATTGACCTTTGGTCCAATTTTTACGTTACTGACACCAAATTAGCATTTTATTAAAGGTTTCTGAATACCAGGCTTACCATCGTAACCCATTTTATGCGTTTCCTGTCGAGTTGTTTTGGAAAGAGATTAATTGTTCTCGGCAACATTAAGTTCTACGCCGACATTTGTCGTCAAGGTCTTTTGTTTTCATTTTACAACTCGTGTTAATTCTCGTCTATCATGATCTGTCGACTTAGTTTTTCGACCACTATTATGTTTGTCTGGCGTGGTTTTGTTTTTCGATATATATCGTGCCATAACTTTTAACACTGTTCCTTAGAATACATTCAGTATTTCAGAGTTCCAATTATTGCGAATCCAACTATACATTTCACTTACAATCACTCCTCTTTGGAAATCTGACAGATCTTTATAAATAGACATTTTTTCTAGCCTTTCGTAAAAACAGAACAACAATGTGCTATTCCTATACAAACAAATTCGGTAATATAGTATAATTTACTGCACAGTTAAATCATTAGAGGGTTGTATATTCCCTCACAGAGCCATCATAATTTGATGCTAAAAAAAAAGATTCTATTATTTATATTACATCGTGAGTTAATGGTAGTAAAATGTTTAAAAGGCATTTCTGTGCGAAGTACAATTATCTTTAGTAATTACAATTTTATTTCATATACCAATTAAAGAACTAGACATATAAATACCTGACGTAAATGTGGTTCTAATGTGGCGTGATTGTACCCAATTGTGACCATTGTAATCGTGATGGAAAGTCCATCAAGAATTGTTCCTGGATGGAGCCAAAATTTAAGAAGATCTCCTGATCCCATATCCTCGTTGAGCTCTGAATAGAAAGGGAAGAAATCAGGTGTAGTAATACTTGTAAAAATTAATGTTCAAAAAAAAAAACGCACGTAAGTATACAAAGTTATTTGTTATTAATTAAGCACAAAGCTACACAATGGACTATCTGTGCACTGTCCACCACGGGTATAGAAACCCGGTTTCTAGCAGTATAAGTCCGCAGACACGCCACTGTGCCACTGAGGGACAGAACACAAAGTAAAAAAAAAATGTAAATACGTGATATATGTAGTCTTTGTTAGGGCAACTCCCTGTTTTTAATGACTATTTATTGTGTAATGATTTTAAAGTTGTATTCCTTTTAATTGTTAATATATATTTCGTTAGGCTTACCTAGCATTACTAGGTGAAGAACTTTGAATGAAAGCTACAACAGTTTGAAACTCTCACATTTACAAAATCAGTTATAATTTTACGTTAACAACCAACAGTGTAATTGTTATTGTTTCAGTGCAAAGCCAAATTGGGCTATCTGCTCTCTGTCTGCCGCGAAGAATCGAACCCCATATTTTAGTATTGTAAGTCTGTAACTTTACCGCTGACCCACCGGGATACAAGAATGTAACAGAAGGGAACAATAGCTCAATAAGGTTGTTGTTGTTTGTTATTAAGCATAAAGCTACACAAAGGTCTATCTGGTGAATCAATATATATTTTATATGAATAAAATAAACCTAACACTAATGTTATTTAGTTGTACACCTACCTATACATCTATCAATCTGTTGGTAAAAGAACTGTGAACGCCTTTGCTGGCGAGAGGAGTACAATCAGTTATATTTGTCTTAAGACAATATTATTAGACATAAAATATTCTTCCCTCATGGAGCTGTTGCTGTCTTTTTTTCATTGTTGCATATCATTTAATATCGACTGTACAGGAGGAAAATGAACTGGGTAACTAAGGCCTAAATATCGAGCTTGAAAACGATGCTTACTTTAAACAGGTGCACCAGAGTGATCAGCCCGCCAATCCTACATGATTGGTTACTGCAACTTCAGGGCAACATGTACTGCCTTAAGAAGCTCTCCGAATTTTATGATATCATATACTTTCAAGAGACCTAACCCTCAAACTCTGACGAGTTCATTCTCAATGGTTTTAATGGCGTATTATGATTATTTAATTTGTAACGTGACTGTTGCAAGATTCCATTTAAAAGTCTGAGGACTCCCACTGCTGACAAACTGGGTTTCGATACTTGTGGTGGGCACGGCACAGATAGCCCATTGTAAAGTATTGTGCTCACCAACAAACAAGGCCTGGCATGGTCAGGTGGTTAAGGAGCTAGACTCGCAATCTCAGGGTCGCGGGTTCGAATTCCACTCCCAGCAAACGTGCTCACCTTTTCAGCCGTGGGGCGTTACAATGTGACAATCAATCCCACTATTTGTTGGTAAAAAGAGTAGCCCAAGAGTTGGCGGTGGGTGATGATGACAAACTACCTTCTCTCTAGTCTTTAACTACCAAATTAGGGACAGCTAGCGCAGATAGCTCTCGTGTAGCTTTATGCGAAATTCAAAACAAAACAAACAAACCTGATGATGCTAAGAAAGCCTACAGAAATATACAGTTTTAAAGAGATTTTTTTAAATATATCTACTTGTTTATCCGCAAAGAAAAAAGTCTTTCAAAGGGTATTCATTTCGCTTCCCTTTTCAGTTATCTTAATAAACATAGATTATGACACTGTGTGACATTGTTATCACATTGTGTGTGTTTAGAAACAACAATCAGTTTACAGAATAATGAAACTCACTTCATTAATCAAACTAAGTTTGTTTGCCAGTTATTTTCCTCTTATAAAGATGTTATTACGTCGTTCATTAATAACATGCAATAGGAACAACATTGAATATCATAAAATTTAGGGTTTAAAGCTGTCGTAATACCGTGTATTATACAAAATATTATATAGCTTTTTATCTGATCTGAAGAAAATGTGGTTAATCACGTAAATTAATAGGTTTACAAATCGTCAAAAATGTGTATAAATTTACTTGTGGAAGATGACATTTACGACCTGACGAAGAGAGGTAGCTCGAAACGTTATCCTCCATAAATTACTATATAAAACGTTTTTGGTGATTTGTAACCTATTCAGTAATCTAGATATTTATCATAGCTGGGCAATCTTTAACATTTGACAAGGCACTTAGCGGCTGTAGAAGAGAAAACCTACCTAAATCTGGAAGAAAGAAAATACATTGAGTGGCTGTAGAAGAAAACACCTACCTGAAACTGGGAGTAAGAAAATACACTGAGTGGCCGTAGAAGAAAACACCTACCTGAAACTGGGAGTAAGAAAATACACTGAGTGGCCGTAGAAGAAAACACCTACCTGAAACTGGGAGTAAGAAAATACACTGAGTGGCCGTAGAAGAAAACACCTACCTGAAACTGGGAGTAAGAAAATACATTGAGTGGCTGTAGAAGAAAACACCTACCTGAAACTGGGAGTAAGAAAATACACTGAGTGGCTGTAGAAGAAAACACCTACCTGAAACTGGGAGTAAGAAAATACACCGAGTGGCCGTAGAAGAAAACACCTACCTGAAACTGGGAGTAAGAAAATACATTGCGTGGCTGTAGAAGAAAACACCTACCTGAAACTGGGAGTAAGAAAATACATCGAGTGGCTGTAGAAGAGAAAACCTACCTAAATCTGGAAGAAAGAAAAGACATTGAGTAGCTATAGAAGAAAACACCTACCTGAATCTGGGAGTAAGAAAACAGTTATGACTGCACAAACAACAAGAACCACTCCAACAGTTATGAAAGGTAAGTAATAGCCATCCACCTAAAGAAAATATTGAACAAAATATAATACTTAAATATCACTCTGAATTTTTATTAAATGTAAACCAGGTCAAAGTAAAAGAAAAAAAAAAGAACAGTTGTTTGTAGTTAAGCACAAAGCTATCTATGGGCTATGGGTATCGAAACCCGGATTCTAGCGTTGTAAGTCCGCAGACATACCGCTATGTCACTTGTGGGGGGGGGCTAAAATATACTTAATTAGTAAATATGTGTGTGTGTGTGTGTTTCTTATAGCAAAGCCACATCTGGCTATCTGCTGTGTCCACCGCGGGGAATCGAATCCCTGATTTTAGCGTTTTAAATCCATATTTGTTTGAGTAACACTATAGAATAGTTTCCAGGATCATTTAATAATTGCTGAAAAAAAAAAGATTAAAATTACATTTCAACTGTAAAGTTAATAGTCAAAGTTAGTGATTAATAAGTAATGGTTTGGTAAATATGTGAAGGGCCACACTACACTATGAAGTTTGTGGTTTATTAACACTTAATAATAGCAAAATTATTAAAAAAATCACCGCTGAATAACGTTTTTCTAAAGTACGATAACGTGAGGACAATTTGTTTTAGAACTTTCCTGCTAAGCAACAAAATGGCTATATGCGCATGCGCATAGCCGTCCCTAATTAAACGGACATGCTAGCGGGAAGACAGTTAGTCAATAGCACACATCGCTAATTATTGGATAATCTTATCTGACCGAATAGTGGGATTTCACCACCACCCTTTTAGAGCACCCCCTATCCCTAATGTGCGGAGCGCGTTTATGTGGCGACGGACTTCGAACCATGAGTCTCCAGATTCACGGACCGAGCACGCTAAACACTAGTCCATACACAGTCCAGTAATTTGAAGAATATGAAACGATAATACACGTTGTTTTACACCATTTGTCGTCTAATCTTAAAACAGATGGTTCAAATGAAAACGTAGAAACAATTAAACAGTCACCTATATTTCTCACAGCTTAAATAGTAAAGATATAAAACAGAAACGAAACATCATCTTTTATGATTCAACTTTCTACAATAATTGTTAACACCGTCAAATAACTTTCACTGTAAAAAGAGCTAAATAACATATAGTGTTTTATAGAGGAGCGGCATATTCTTACAAAATAAATAGGTGCAAAAAATTGTCATTAAAATTTATTTCGACAAAATTTATTTTTCAGAAGTTCACGTTTTTAGAGATTAGAATCAGTTCAAAGCTTTCTTGTGAACCTTGTAAAAAAAAGAAGCAATAAAGATAGAGATTATTAATCAAGAAATGAATTTCACCTCGTAGAGGGCGCCACCTAACGTAGGTCCAGCAATCAAACCAAATCCATAGGCTGTTTCTAATGCTCCCTATTGCAAAATAAATAGAAAATTACACACAGTGTCATTACTATATTTAATTAGTTAACCACTTAGTCGCACAGCAAATGTTTCAATATGACACAAAATCAACTAGTTTTATTCTTATAAGTACGTTTTAAGAACTTGCTCATTATCGAATAGTGAACAAAACATATAACTAATGATCTAAGTCAGGGGTCACCAAAGTACGGCCCGCGAGGTCAGTTCATCCGACCCGCCGTTGCACTGTTCTACAAATGAGCTAAAATATAATTATTTATATGGAAATATCATAGATTGTAGAAAAACTTATTATGTAAAAAAAAAAATTAAAATAAGTA